AATTTGGAAACACATTATAGAAAGTGTTATTTTAGCCCAATCAACATAAGCCGTCCATTTTGCTAACGTGCTTAAATCTACATCTTAGAAAGATTTTTCTATTTTCAAATTTTTTAGATAGCTTTGTTATCATTAGATGAACAATATTGAAAAAGAAAAAAAATGGTTTTGAGTTCATAAAGGTCTAGATCTTGAAATTGATCAAATGAATGGTCTAGATTCATTGTTGGAGAGGACTCATTTTAACCACATCTATGATGCAAATTCAATATTTGTTTTTGAAAATTGACTATTGGGATAAAATGAGGGTATGTGCAATTTTTTAAATGATACAAATACTAAAAATATGGTTTTTTAGAAGTGTAGTTGCATTATATTACTATATAATTATTGCATGAAGTCATTATTATTTTTATTTTAAATAATCAGCCGGACTACTTAAACCGGCCAAAACTGGCTTTGCTAATAGCGGGTTCGACTTGGACCCGGCAGATTTGTTGAACACCATGTAAGTCTCCTAAAGGTTCCATCGCATCTAACTTCAGGATTTCCAAAATAGTGAAAGATGAGAATCAAGAGGCTTACCTTTGACCATCAAAATGTTTGAATACACATACTCATTCAATTTTTCCATACCTCTAATATATTAATATCTTTAATTTTGGAATATCTTAGTTTTTCCGTATCTCTTATTTTTCAATTTTTAAAAAGCCTAGAAGGTATATTTAAAGCATAATTAAATAAAACACATCCAAGTGATGTTGAAAAGTAGTAAAAAAAAAATAGGATTTTTAAAAATCGATTTATGGCCAGGGGTATTTTAGAAATAATTCAAAAAACAAATATATAAAAGTAAATAGGGTGCAGTTTCTATATAGCCGAGGCTCTAAACAATTAAAGTAAAACGCACATTCAAATAGTGTCGAGAAACGTGGTTTCAATACTGAAAATCCTTGTGATAGCCTTAAAATATATTTTCATCTTTAATTATAAAATTTAAAGCTTCAAAAACATTATAGATTGAACACATCTATAAAAACTTGAAAATCTTGAAAATTGATGGTCCACAAAAGCGTTACAAGATACTCTATTTTCAAAACTTGAAATCTATTTTTTTCTCACGTCCATGGATCTTGATGCCGAGATGATCAATTTGAGGATATTTCGGTATCAAAACAACCTCTTCTAGTGAAAATTTTAAGGTTGGCTCTAATTTGATTGTTTAGAGCCTCAGCTCTGTATAATTTTTTGCAAATAAATAAGGGAAAATTATAATAATAATAAATAAATAAATAAAAAATTCAAAACTACACTTTATGTACAACTTAAATCGAACCTAACTTTCTCTCTCACTTTTTCCCCAAAATATACTTTCTATTCAAAAACCCCCCAAGCCAAAATAAAAAAATAAAATATGCCTAAACTACCCTCACTTACTTTTACTTTACCTACGCCTCTCTCCTCTATTCCACCAAAATAGGGGCTCTACACTTACATCTATCCCACCAAAATAGGGGGCTCCGGCACCGTGTAAGTGTGGTCGGGCAATAGCGCTCCGGTAATGTGTAATATTCGGTTCGGCAATAAGGATCTAGCACTGTGTAAAGTGTGGTCCGACAGTAGGGCTCCAGCACTGTGTAAAGTGTGGTCCGACAATTGAAAAGAGCGGTTTGGCAGTTGTATAACACGGTCCGACAGTTGCAAAGGGCGGTCCAGTAGTTGAAAATGGCGGTTCGACAATTGTAAAAGGCGGTTAGATACTTGTGTGCTTTGGCAATGTGATGGTGCGCTCCAACAATGTGCTACTGAGGTCCAAAATTCAACGTAAAATTTGTCGAAAATTATTTTTGAATACAAGAAGGGCATTTCTGTCTAAAAAAAATGAATTCTTTCCCTTAAGAGATATTTGCATAGAAAGTTTATTTTGGAAAAAAAAGTGGAAGAAAAAGTTAGGTCGAGGATAAGTTGCATAAAAAGTGTGGTCTTTAAGATTTTTTGTAATTTTCCCAATAAATAACCACAACGAAAACACATTCCAATTTTTGTCAAAATGATGATAACAACTGCTTTTTAAATAACCAGCCAGACTACCTAAACTGGCCAAAACGGGCCTGGCTAATGGTCGGTTCGGAGTTGGACCCGGCAAATTTGTCTAACACTATGTAAAGGCTCCTAAAGGTTCCATCGCATCTAAACTTCAAAATCAGACATGATTTCCAAAATAGTGAGAGAGATGAATCAAGAGGCTAACCCTTTGGCTTATAGATGGAGCCGAGAAAAACCATTTGATCATCAACATGCTTGAATATACAGACTCATTCAATTTTTGCATATCTCTAATTTTGGATGGGGGGTTATCTGTATAATTCTTCTATGTTGTGCTATGGTTCGGTACAAAGATTAAGGGCATTTCAATCAATCACAACTATCCCTGGACACAAACCCATAAACCCCATGCCCACACTGAACCCAGCTCTGCCCTGCCGGCTTCTTCACCCCTCTCTCCCTCATCAACCCCCTCACCCTTCTCACATCACCCCACCTTCCGGCCCTCGCGTATACCTCCGCCATCACGACGTAATTCGCCGCATTATCTCTCTCTAGCTCAAAAAGCCTCTCTACGGCCTCCTCACAAACACCTATATCCCCAGCCACCCGACCCGCCTCCAAAACCGATCCCCAAGCCCCCGAACCCACCCACTCAGGCATGGCTCGAGCCCACTCCCTAACCTCGTGGACCCGTTTAGCCCGTGCCAATGCACCCACCATGCACCCATAGTGCTGATCTTGGGCACAAACACCAAACCTTGGTCCCATCTCATCGAACCAAAACTGAGCCTCATCCACAAGCCCACCATGGCTACACGCACTCAAAACTGACACAAGGGTCGAGCTGTTCGGCCTGACCCGACCCACCCCCAACATTTCCGCAAATACCCCAAGTGCCTTCCTTCCCCTACCATGCACCCCTAGTGCATATATCATAACATTCCATGTGACAACATCTCTATCATCACCCCCCATGCTCTCAAAAACCCTAATGGCTGAATCAATGTCCCCTAGCTTGCTATACATGTCAATGAGTGAGTTTTTTACTAGGGTTTCTGGTTCAATTAGGGTTCTGAATGCCATGGCATGGAGTTCTTGCCCTAATTTTGAGAAACCCAGTTGACAGATCATGGGAAGTATGGTCGAGATGGCTATGGCGTCTAGGGTTTGTTGCATGGGGATGAGACTACGTAAGCAGTTTAGTCCTTCAAGTGCATGGCCATTCTTTGTATAAGTGGCCATGATTGAGGACCATGAGACCAGGTCCATTGTAGTCATGAAGGTATACACACGTGTGGCAAGAGTGACTTGGCTGCAATCTCCATACGTGTGAGCAAGCGAAGTTTGGATCTCAAGGCTGCAAAAACCTTGGCGAATAATCATGGCATGTACCTGAAATATTTGAAACTTAATGATTAACTTCATTTCTTTCGTTATATTTCAAAGTTATTTCAAAATTATGAAAAGACAATGTATATTTTACGAATTATTTGATTTAAAGATATCAATTAGACGGCTTCTTTGAAGTCTTAACTACACAAGCCTTTGAAGGGTTGAACTCATTTGCAACAAGGAACTTTTGGTTCGCCTTGTGGAGGACCTAAGTAGTATCCTCCCATCCGATTAAAATGATTAGTAATCCCCAAATATGGTATGCAATACTGTTTAGGGATTGACTACAAAAAAAACATTTATCTTTTGTATAAGGTCCTTTAGATTTTAAAATAGGTGGTTGTAAGAGTGTTGTTCATTAGACACAAAGTTCCAAAAATATATTTTTGGATTTTGTTACCTATCCCAAGCCATCAAATTTAATATCCAATGAGTGAGAATAGTGGTGACATCCTTGTACAGAGGGTAAATGATCTATTTGTAGACAATCCTGTGTGTTTATGCTTTACTTTCCTTTTTTTTTTTTAGAATTGGAAACTCTTTGTCAAGGTTTTTACCATGAAATGTTTTCATCAATCGCCTGCCATAAATGTCAAAGACGAGGGCAGTGTTTTCAAGAAGGACAAAAGTTTTCTCTAGATTATAATCGAGTTATACGAAACCATAGCCGATCCCAAATAGTTAGGAAAAGATACTGATGATGATGAAGGAAACCACACTATGGTCCAAAGGACTATATGGTCATAGGGCTCGTTGGTATTCCAATGATAAGTTGGACAGTGATGGAGTGAGAGCGGGACATGCAGTTAGTATCAGAACTGGATTGGGCTAGCCTTGGCCCATGCCCAACCCAGGTTGAGATAGTATTGGCCTAGCCCACAATGGGCCAAAGGGGCCTCGCCTAGGCTCAACCCTAGGCCTATCTAAGTTGAGCCAGGCCAGCCTAATAGATTCTAACAAAAATGAGAAAAATAATGGAAAAAAATAAAGACAGTTTGGGCTAGGTTAGGCCGACCTTGTGGTGGCCCTAGCCTAGGCCCAGCCTATGAGGCCCACATTTTTGTAGCTCGGGGGCCCTAATTTTTTTGGCTGACCAGGCAAGGCCAGTACACCTAAGCCTATGTGCAATCCAATAAAAAGATTCCTATTGGCACCTACATTTTTACTATTGGCACCTATAATAGGTGGGAATATGATAACAACAAAAATGGAAAATTGTTTCATGCTCGACCGCATGAATACATATGTGGTCCAAATAGTGTAAAGCATCCATCTTAAAGATGGATGGAAGTTGGTGTTCCATCTAAAAACAATAGAAACTAAAGGTCCAAATGTTTTTTATAGAATTATTATTTCTAGTTTTAAAAAAAT